ACGAGCTGGGACTCGAACTTGGGACGCCCGAAGCGCAACAGCGCTACATGTCGGTGCGCTGCCCACGAGGCCATCGGCGCCAACAAGGCCCACTGAATCTTAAAGCTACAGGATACAATGACTCACTTGCAACTTTGCGGCAACAGTTTGTGGATGGCCTTTTTCTGTTCTGCACAACAAGCGAGGTCTATAAAGAAATGATTTAGAGAGTTTGAAGTGAAGAACTTGACTGGCATCCATAATGCACTACAAATAAACACCTTTGGGATGAACTGGAATGCTGATTACAAGCCAGATCCCATCGTCTACTAATGGTCATGTCTGAATGGTAGCAAATCCCCTCTGCTATAGTATATTAAAGGTAGGGTAGGCAATTTCGGAGAGGCTAGAAATAGCAAGCTAGCTTTGAAAGCCCCTCCTGGCGAATCATTCTCCAAAGCCACGCCTCCTCCAAAACACATGAGGACGCACAGGCAGACCAGCGGCTAACCAGCAAAACGATGAGAGACAGCATTGATGAAGGGCTGAATGGGTTGGACTTTTTTCAAATACATTAAAAAAATCCTATCACTTCCAAACTTTTGAACGGTAGTATTATATATTAAATACTGACAAAACATAATGTGTATTTTTAGCTAGACGTTGTCACATGAACAGACAATCATTAATCACACTGATTTAAGCTGTACATGTTTCATTAAATTGAACCACAGCTCATAAGAGTCACAAATCCCACAAGACAAAGCATAAACACACAGGCTACGCAACAACTCTCATCCCATAAAAATCTGAAATACAGAATCAAAGGCACAGATCAAGACTGACTGGCCTTGTAATCTAAAGTCACTTCTTCTTAGTCATTTAGGGATGGTGTCACCTGTATGCTTATTCAAAGCAGAATACATTTAAAGCAGACCAAATGAAGTAAATGCAAGTCTTTCCTTGGAAAAGTTGCAATGAAGCACATGCCTGACTTTATGAACTATAGAATAATCGATACAATAAGCTTGCCCTTCTTTATGCATCACAACATAAGTACATGACCACTGATGTTGGTTAAAAAATGCGAACCATTAAGCATAGGCATACAATCCAGAAAAACTAGCTCGTTAAAGAAGAGCTTTCCAAGAAAATGCACAAATATATGTGTAACCAAATAAAAAACACAACTCTGCCCTCTACTTCGGTTTACAGGCCTTCTTTCAGCTCCCTCTGCCTTTCTATCTTTTCCTCTCCTTCTGTACACAGTGTGCCAGTCAACATGTTGAACGCATTCCCTGCACAGCAATCACGTCCCAGCCAACCCTCTCAAATGCTGTGTGTCGACTGCAACAAGAGGGCATCAACCGCACAAACTTTGGCAGCACAGGGCAACCTAGGTTGTACAGTCCAGCTAAACAAACACACAGTGTGCCAACAGGGCTAAATGTTCAAATGCACCTCCGGTACACTTATTTATGAAATATGATATTTCAACAGACCTGAGGTTTACCAGAGTTTCCCTTCTAATCCCACACCAAATCCTCTACATTCCTGATTTCTCACAGGCAGGGTTGGCCGAACAATTTTGCCAAACATGTGTTTGACTTCCAGTCGTGGGAAGAGACACTAACTAAAGGCGTCTTTACTCAACTGCTCTGTGCCTGCTCAAAATTCAAAAACGCAATGCCTCAAAGTCAGACTAAATTATAGCTGCTCAGACCTACCTCAGCCCCTAATATCAAAGTATACAGTATGTAATTGCTGTGTAAATGCATTTAAGCTATCTCTGAGCATCATCTTCTGTGCCTCCTTTGCAGTGTTGCTTGACCCATACAAACTTATGCCAAATTTACGCTGCACAGGTGGCACAAAAGAATTTCTAAAGTGGCATTTAGGCTCCCAGACTACCCAAATAATGCCCAAAAAAATTGCATCTTTATACACTACTTTGATTCTTAGAGTATACTTTGGTGGCTCAGAGCAGGCAAAATTTAGTCCGGCTTTTATGAGGCATTGTGTCTTTACACAAAATTTTGAGCAGGCATAGATGAGCCTTAATTTGGTTGTGTAAAGACACCTTTAATTAAGAGAGCGAGAAAACGATCTGTCCCTTTTGTCTGCAGGTGTAGAAATAGCAAAACAAACATTAATGGCCAAAGGTTATTTTATAGCACATTAAACATAAGCAATTAAAAACACTCAAGTTAATACATTTAAATAATAAATGAAACTTTTAAATAATACATTTTTACCTTTTATGTACCCTACTGAAAGAAACCAAATGGGTCGGCCTAAACCATATACAGATTTCTTGTTGCAAACACCCACAAATTTGTATGTTTGCCCCCAAATTTGTTTGTTTACTCTTTGTTGTCATGACAGGCCAGCTGTTTCCAAGCTTGTGTGGTCTTAAGTAATCACCTCCGATGCTAAATTACTGCCAACTGAAAACACATCTTAAAGTAAAGCTAGTACGGCGTTAGATCAATGAGTGACTGACACTGGTCAAGTACATAAACACTCTACTTAAGCTCTTAAGTGCTCATCGAGAACCACATTTCGCCCGCTTGAGATGCAAACACAAACTTCATAAGCCTCCTCCAGTTGAGCTACAACAAAACACAAGGCACAAAGTGAAATAAAAGACTTATGTAATATATTCCAAACTGGGCTAAAAATCAAACTTAATCAATTTATGACATCACAGTTTGATGCACTGTAACGCTAGTAAAATTTTTACCAAATGCAACACGACTGCTAATGTATTATGTATTTCCAGTAGGCAATGCTTTATCGCAACAAAATGTGACTAAGCAGATAGGCTGTTCCTTGTCATTTATTAATGCATACACAGGAATTGGAAGTCATGCATCAAATCCCTTCCCGAACTTCATATAATGATTAATATCTAACAGATATATGTGGTTATGTTATTGGTAATTAGTTACTAATGATACTTGCATTCAATCATTTGACAATGTTAAAGTGTGTTTAGCTATGAAAACATTGATTTGAAAGTCTGGGTGATTCCTGCATCGCACAATGTTACTGTAGCTATTTGATGACTATACACTCTAAAAATGCTGGGTTAAATACAACCCAGCGCTGGGTCAAATAGGGACAAACCCAGCAATTGGTTTGTTTTGACCCAGCGGTTGGGTTAAATGTTTAACCCAACCTTCTGGGTAGTAACCCAACCGCTGGATCAAAACAGCCCAATTGCTGGGTTTGTCCCTATTTTACCCAGCACTGGGTTGTATTTAACCCAGCATTTTTTAGAGTGTACTGTCATTAATCACTCACTAAACTAGGTAGCCTGCAGTTTACCAATCATATAACTTCTGATTGAAACAAAATAACCTGTTTGCAAGATATCAAATAAAAGCCACACCAATAAGTGTAACACGCGATTAAGAACACTTTTTAAACATATTAAGAAGAGTTCAATTTGATCAAAATAATATCCATACGCAACTGAACAAAATAATTGAACGTTCGCTCTACAGCGTCCTCCTCTGCTCTGCGCATGCGTGCGAATTTTCTGCGACGATCCTTGATCAATTTAATTTCTACTCTGCCTCTGGTTACATGCGAGTCACAAGGCAATATGACACATTACAATACTACTGGAAATAATTGCAATCATGTCTAATAGTTTAATCAAGGGTTTGAACGTCAGGAGGCGTTAACATTTACAGTAGCTACTTCTCTGGTCATTTTCAACATGCGCTCATAATAAGCTTGCAGTTAAGATATAGTTCTCATTAAACACAAAATTACCACAGAAAACACACCATTTTTTTCTATCTATTAGGCTATAGGATATAACACATCTAAAAAAAAAAAATACATAGGCTAATTAGCGGAAATATGAGTTCTGTACATTTTAAAAAGCAATGTGTTCCCATTAATAACATCACATAGGTACAACGCACATGTATAGGTTACACAGCATATATGATTGCACAAAAGCGCACGCATGCACACACTTGACACTGTTGAACGGAAACTAAATTGCATGATGGGAGATAAAAGAATCTGCTGTGGAAGATAATATAAAAGGGGAAAATAGAGAACATGCCTTCAACTTTCTTACTAGGGCAACTGCCCTGTGTGTCAGGGACTAATAAACTCAGATTCACACATTATAAAATACCCATTGCCCTTAACATAACGGTTAAAGCTCGTCTAAATGAGCGTGCGCGTAATCTGCTTGTTTCTTTGCAGTGGCAGTCGCGTGGCCAAAATGAATGTGGCACCTCAAAACGGAAAGACAGTTCACAATTCCGCAAGAGGTATGGCTTTAATAACACACTCCTGCTTTATTTAAATCTCCAGTCAAAACCGTACTGTATCATGGCGAGTGAACTGTCTCAATGTTTCAATCATTAACTCTTAACGTAATAAACTTTCACCCACTGAACCCCATTTGGCTCTGGAACCAAGAGAAGTGCTGCTTGCTGACAGTTCCGCACTATCACTCAAGTTATACCCTCATACCGGTAAATTCAACAGCCTAGCGACAAACATTCGCCCGGAGAGTGCGCTTGTTTTCCGCTGAGCGCTTAATGTGTCAGAATTAACTTCAAACGCGAACCGGTCAAAGGCGCAGAAGTATGGAGCTGCCTTCGCTGGACTGGAATGGAGTTGGAAATGTGAGCTGGACTGTCCGTGAGACTTGACAGGCGTGCTGGAGGGGGGCTGGACTCTCTGCCTGTTGATCCGATAAAAAAAAAAAAAACAGGGTGCAAGAGCTTGGGGCTTGCGAAACACCGGTGGCAAACGCGCACTGTCTGAACTGAACAGGAACCTTTTAAATAAGAGTCTATTAGACATGTCATATACTGTATTTTGGAAGCGCTAAGAGCAACGTAAACAGCTTAAATTAAGCGTGAAAAGTCCAGCCCAGTGGAGCCTCAACAAGACCAACCGTGGACATTTGTTTATAAACAACAACATTTGCCATCGACAAACAACATGTAAGACAGACTGAAAGCGCACAGGCGCAAGAAACATACCTCGGCAGGTCTGCTCAGTCCGCTGTCGTTTCGCATAAAAGTGCAGCAAAGCTCCAGATAGCGCCTACGACCCAGAAAGGCAACCTTTCTGCCCCGTCTATCTCAACCAGCAGTGGGTTACGCAGTTTTTCATGTGCTTTCACCCCTCCTCTTGCTCTCTCGCTCGCTCGCTCGCTCTTGGCGATGTCGGCTGTACTAGTACGATTTAACATCAAGCTGCGACTACGTAATGGCGCAATTACGTCATGACGTAAGGAATCACTGTGCTTTGAATCTGTTCTTTTAAAGGAACTGTTCAAAAGAGCCGACTTGCGGAAATGAGTCGGACTTCCCATCATCTACTCTTTCGCACTTCTAACCGTCCGCTTCCGGTGTTGTTTCACTGGTGAGAAAGTCGCGTAGTTCATGCGAGGAACTGTAAGGTTGGTAGGTAATTCGCTGTACCTACCAAAAAGGTACGGTTAAAAAGCCGTGCGCACTTCAAAAGGCAAATTATTGTTTTAGACGTGCAAAAGGCTTAATATATGCGCTGCGGGCGGGGGTGGGGCTATGAAATATAAAGACGGTTAGCGGAGCGCGAGGACTGCTGATTGGGCATGAGCGTTTACGCGTGACTTCAGTCGAGGGACATAACGCAGAAAAACAGTTTAACGTTGCTTTGAGCTGCTGAAGCGCGCGTACGGAGCTTAACATTATGAGTACAGCTCTAATGGAACTGACAAGGGCTCCCACGGATGCAGAAAACCGCTAAATACAAGGGAACTAAAACTGTGCATTGACAAATCCTGGAAATTAAGTTTTAAAAATAATGGAAACATGAGAATGTACGCAGTTTTGGCTGTTATTCTCTGCTCAGAAATCTTAAACAGTTTTGTCTTGCATATCTTGTAATACGACTACAACTGTGAAATAATTGTTCATTTGAGTCGCTTCTTGTTTAGTCAAAGCGATTCACAAATCGGTCGTAACGATTCATTACGACTTGGTATGAATCATAATTATATTTTTAAAAATGATACAGTAATCACAGACCTTTGGAAAGGTTATGGAATTTTATTGGTCAGAAAGTAAACCTTTAAATAGTTCAATAGTATATATATATATATAATCTCCTTTGAGCTTCAGCAAATAGATGATCTATTATTAATTTAGCAAGTGTGGGTTAAAATGGGCTATGATATAGATACCTATTATGCAAATATAATACTATGACAATAGCCAGAGGTAAATCCAGTGGTGTTGTTTAGGCGTTTGCCACTGAGCAGACTTCATCTTCATCTGCTCAGCACTTTTACCGGTTTAGGAGTGCGGCTCTGGGAAACGGACAGATCTTGAGGGAGATTCCTTTTTTTTTTTTTGGCAGTGTTGCGACCCTTATTTCTCATGTCCTCGATCCGTTCTTCGGAGACGGAAAAAACATGTTCGATTCGATTCTGAGACAGGCGGAGAGCCGCGTGTAAACCGGATCCAGGCTGGACACGCACGCAGCATGCGGATGGAGGCAAGCTGTGATCAACCTGCTGCGGCCACGACTAGGGTCAAAGCATGTTTTATGGGTTAGACGAGATGATAGAGAGCATATATGTAGGGCCATGCTTCTGATATTTGACTAAAATCGCACGAAAGTCTTATTATTAGTAGTAGTAATGTTTAGTCAAGCACCTTGAAGTATACAAATAAAGTAAAGGAGCATAACATAGTTTTTCCCCTTTAAGTGTCTTTTCCGCTCATTCTCTCTGCAGACTCATTCTTTATGGGTTTTAACTAAAATTGGTGCAGCTATTGCATTATCTCCTAAACACGTTAATTAAATGAGTGTTCAGTGCAGCCGTATTGAATAGTTTAATATTGCCCCCTGCTGGTTAAACAACGCAATTACATTCACAGCCATGAGGATTGGGCTAGTCTCACTGCATACTGTAGTAGACAAGCACAAGGTGTATAGTTGAATTGTATTAAACAATATACTTCAAGGTAACACACACACAAATGCACATGCAGCACATACTAGCAACACGTCAGCATACTTTAATTAGCAAATAATTGTATATCAAAAAGGATTTACTGCTGCTACTATATATAGTATGTGTAGTTAATACAAATATCAACTGCATGTGTGTGGTCAATATTGTATAGGAAACACTTTGTTTTTACAAGTAAATTACTGAGACGCGAGCAATGAGCTCAAACGCACAGTTGCCCTGCACAGCTCTTCAGGTGCAGCTGATAAACAACCTGCATTGGATGGACTCCATCTTGGCAAGATGAAAACTTTGATTCAGCATATTCTCTCTCCCAGAGAGACACCGCTGAGGGGGGTTTGTAGAATCAGAGGGCATAGATTTAGTTTTCATTGACGATAAGTGGATGTGTTCGTGTCCCTTATGTTTATCTAGATGTGTATATTAATGCAAGGCATATTTATACATGTATCTGTTTTCTAGGCCGCAGCAGATCTCTCTTGATATTATAGGGATCACCCAAAAAGTGAATGTTTACTCACTCTCAGGCCATCCAAGATGCAGTTGAGTTGGTTTCTTCATCAGAACAGATTTGGAGAAATTTATCATTACATCACTTGCTCACCAACGGATGCTCTGAAGTGAATGGGTGCCGTCAGAACGAGAGTCCAAACAGCTGATAAAAACATCACAGTAATCCACAACACTCCAGTCCATCAATTAATGTCTTGTAAAGTGAAAAGCTGCATGTTTGTAATAAACCAATCTATCATTAAGGTTTTTTTAACTTTAAACTGTTGCTTTCGGATAAAATAAGATCCATAATCCTGCTTTCATTCACATCCTCTTTCCCTTCAAATATTAGCATGTTCATGCAATAACTATGTATTCATTAATACCACAATGCAGAAATATGAAGGGACTCATGAAAAGCCAATGTATTAAATGTCAGAATCAGTGCAGCTTCGCAGAGGGCTTGCCAGGAATAAAATATACTTGAACTTCAACGACTGTAATGCTGTATTATGGATTTGGGGGTGGAAAAAAAGCTAACAATACACAAATAAAATCCTGATTCCTTTGCAATTTACATAAGCATAATAGAGTTTAAACTGATTTATTCACAGTCCTCCTGAGTCACCTGTCTCCACAAGTGCAAACATTTGAAAGTATAAACGCCATTACTGCAAACCTAACAAACAGCTGGACGTCTAATCAAAGAACCTTGACAAAAGGTCAATGCGCAATGTCCAATGCGAGATCTCTCTCTCTCTATCTATCTCTTTTTAACCTTTAGAGCAGAATGGCTGGGGTAATGACAGGTAGACGGAGAGAGATAAACACTCAGTAATTACCATTTGCGTGAAGGCAGATGAGATTCGTTTAGGAAGAATGACCTTTAAATATCCACTGAAACGTAACTTAATCGCTTAATTTTGTTCCACTGGGTGATAAAATGCCCCCACAGAGCAACTATTCAGGGCCATTTATTACAGGAAGACCATGTAAATGCCAGTCCTGATTTCGCTAACTGTAGTATATGTAGTTCTTGTCATGTTTATCATTAGTACTATTTTTTTCACATTCAAATGCGTGGTCAGACGTGGTGCTATTTGAACGTATACAGTCTGAACATACAGAATAGCGACATACTACCATTCAAAAGTTCAGGGTAGGTGCGATTTTTTTTTTGTTTTTCAAAATACTCAGGGCTGCATTTAGTAGATCAAAAATACTGTGAAATATTATTAGAATTTAAAATGACTTTTTCTCTATTTTAATGTTTTAAAATGTAATTTATTCCTGTGATGGCAAAAGCTAAATTTCAGCATCATTACTCCAGTTTTTAGTGTCACATGACCCTTCAGAAATCATATATGCTCATTTAATGCTTAGGAAATATTATCAAAGTTGAAAACAGTTGTGCTCCTTAATATTTTTGTAGAGACTTTTTTTTCAGGATTCTTTGAATCCAAAACATTATTTTTTTATTTTTTTTTATAACACAAACATCTTTACTGATGCTTTAATCAATTTAATGCATCTTTGCTGACTAGAAGTTTTAATTTCTTAAAAAAAAAAAAATCTTACCGACCCCTATTTTGTTATATATATATATATATCCCAGATAACTGAAGAAATGCATCAAGGACACAAAGAGCTGATAACTGTTTCTCATCAAGAATTCATTGTACAATAAAGTGAATATACATAGTGCAGTGTATATATAATAGTATACACACCATAAAGTGAGAGTGGAAGGACAGATACACAAAGTGGGAAACAAACTGACAGACGTTTAAAAAGTAGTTACATAATGAAGAAACATCATTTTCCATCATATTTCCGTTTGAAGTGCTACCTTACATGACAACACAGCAGATCAGTGAATTAAAGAATTAAATTATAAATATGTGTGCGTATTTGTATATATGTGCATGTATGTGTGTCTCTAAAATTCACCATCTAATTATGTTACTGCTGGCTCGGTGCTAGATTTTTCTTGCTATCCAAGTTGGCGCATTAAACATCATATTGGAGACACAATAATATGGTGGAAATATCACATTTGCTCATCTGTGTAATGTATATTCATATATATATTTATCTTCTTCCATTCACTTCCCAAAGACATCCAATAAAAGAGTAAAATATTTTTCATCAACATTAAAATACAGTATATTCACGTGAACCAGAAGTTAAAAGGGACATTATAGACCTGCATGCACAAACTTACTTTACAACTTATGATCTCACCATAAATGATACTTCTGTACCAATCCATTCCATCAATACTACCGTGAAGTTTACACCCCTTCTCACTCATTTCCAAAGATCAACATAAAGAACAAAGAATTCACTGGCGCTATGCTAACAGCTCAAAATATGTTTCATGTTTGCTAACACCAGTGGACATTCAATGAAATACAAGTCAAAGGCCAAATGTCTGCGATTAAACATGTTAAAGAGCCTTAATATTCACGCTTACATTGACAAAGGTCAAAAAAATCGTCTTGAAGGCCTCACATTCCTACAAAAAAGGCAAATAACATCTTAACCATTGAATGAGCTCAATTGAATATTGATACAAGGATGAAGGTTAAAATATTAGCGTGTTTGCTCACTTTTGGCTATGACTGTAAAAACAGAGAAGCTGTAGCACCTAAGCGTTATGTACATGATTATTCAATAGAAATAAAATAAAAAAAACACACTAAAATGATGGAAAACTAAGCATTTCGGCAGGTATCCATATCTGAGACTGTGGAGGCTGCAAACCCTTCTCTCATTGGCGAGGGATGATCAGAGCTCATCTCCATGTCCAGAGTGAGAGATTCTGGAGGGAAAGTGGAATCACAGGATTAAGAGACCCTAAAATGTCTGCAATGGATATTGAGAAAGCTGTTTTGTGACTTACCCAGTGGTCCTGGGTTGGCCTCGGCAGCTTCATTGTGCATGAGAGAGTCGAGTGTACGAGGGGACATTGGGAACAAATCGCTTGTGTTGCCAGAGTTAGTCCTGCAAAAGAACGAAGGCACACATCAGACAGGACACACAAGCTACAAATGAACAGTCATTAATTCCAGCTTCACATACAACCGTTATGATTTAGTAAGGTGAGAGTTCATTCGCCACATAATGAGTTAACCTTCACTCTAATATTTGCATATCAACACATTTTGCACATTCCCACACTCAAAGTCATACACATGAGCATCACTTGGGAACTTAAAAGGATAGTGCACTCCAAAATGAAACTTCTGTCAACATTTACTCAACCTTATAGCATTCCAAACCTGTATGGCTTTCTTTCTACTGTGGGACATAAAAGATATTGTCCACATTATAGGTAAGTCAAAGGGCTCCAATGTCATCAGAGGTTTGGAACCTGAGGGGAGTAAATTATTATTATTATTATTTGTGGCATTTTTAGGATGGGATAGTGAAAGGTCCACAGGCGGGATTCGAACTTGGGACACCCGAAGCGCAACTGAGCCATATGTTGGCGCGCTGCCCACAAGTCTATCGCTGCCATCATGAGGGGAGTAAATTATGACAGAAGTTTCATTCTGGGGAGAACCTGTCTCAGTCATGTGTTAGAGGATGTTGAAACAGCAGATTCAACACAGTGCACTTAAAATGTACATTACTACATAGCTGGCATACAGTGATGTAATGTGGATCTGTAGTTGCTCGTTCACTTTTTTGCTTGTCAATAACTTGAGCCGTAAATGCTGTGATTTATAAGTCTATATTACAACATGGAAAAACTACTATAATAATAAAATTACATTCATATGTAAATACTTTGTGAGAACACACAGCTACTTTTGAATGGCATTAACAGAGAAAGATGCTGACATGCACTTATATCTGACCCAGTCAATGGCTTTCTGCTTGGCTGCCCATTAGTTTTACCCTGGGGAATTAATTACTAGGGGTCAAAGTTTGCCTGTTTGTTAACACTCCAACCCACTCATATGGGCAGTTTGTTTTGGTAAAGCAGTATTTCCACACTAACTCTTGTTTGTGTTGAGACAAGCGTAGGAAGGGTGAACAAATAAAACAACTTCAGAGAAGCTGAAGTCTCGATCAAGCCTAGTTCTGTCTGTACTAAAAACACTAGCAGTGGTCCAGAAGTTTGATCCAGCTGCAATGGAAAAGGCAAGAGTTCCAGATACTTACGGTAAGTTACGCGCTCACGACACATCAAACTAATCAAACGATATTACAAATGCATCAAACTGAAGTAGTTTTGGGTTACTCAAAGGCATTTACAAGTTGTTGATCATGTCTAGTATGTCAGGTTGCTGGTAAATTAAACCAGGCTTTGTTGATTTTATAGAATCAATACCTTGATGTGTGTATTTATTTGCTAAAAAAACAACCCTAAAACAATTTTTTCTTGTTGTAATTTTGGTTTGTTTAGAGTAAATCAAAACAGTAGAGGGATGAATTGCACATCAAGTTGCAGGCTGCCCAAGAACAATATTATCACTCTTAAAAGCCATACTAGGCACATATTACATTGAAAAGAGTTACATTCTGTTTATGTTTGCGTTATGAAAAATGGTACGATTTGTATGTAAGCGTTTTTCCTGAAACACTTTCTCATGCCAACAACATTACCAGGACCAATCTGGAGAACTCACTGTCCAAGATGAAAGAGCACTTTGATAAGACTGCCAATAAAAGTTTAAGCCAAGAACTTGTTTTCCACCCTGGATCACCAACGGTCCCGACTACCTTCCAAAATCTCAAGCAAAAGCTGGATGATATGGTCCTATATTACGGGGATTCAGTCACGGGGAAAGAATCTCTCAAATTTTTACACTACATTTGTTCAGATTTTGGCTGGTTCTTTAACCCGGAGTCTCGCAAAATGTCAATTTGGTTAAACAGCTGCAAACCATCTGGGGAAATAGTTAGTACCAGTACAGGTCGATTCTACAAGTGTAAAGGTGTCAGTTACTGTTCAATCCCTTTTCCTAACAACAAAATGTGAATGAACTCTGAATACTGAGCACAAAAGGGTGCAGAAAATATTCTTGTCAGGGTTCAGTTAATCCCTGTTGGTAGATGTCAAACTACATTTGCAAAAAGCATCTTTTTCCATTTACAGACAGCCATTCAGAAGTAGCAGTGTATTCTGAAACTTTTCGTAAGCAAAACATAAATCACAAACAGCTAATATGATAAAACTGTAATTTTTTAGTCTTATGGCAACAGAGCCATGGGTAATATAGACCTCACTGATTTAAAAATACAGTGTGATGTGTGTATAAACAGTGACAACAGTTATGAGTGGATGTGCTCCATACAGTGAAGTCGTTTGTGTGGTTGTTGGTCAGTTTTCTCGTCTTCTCTCTCTCCCCTATCTTACCACATCCAGGTTATGAAACACCCAGAAAGTCCTGGAGACAACGTCTCAACATCTATAAACAGCCTCTCTATTATTATTGTCACTAAAACTGTTGTATTGTTGTTACCAGTTTTACTGTTAATGCTGTTGTTTTGTTGATAAAAACAACCACTGATTATCTATGTACGGTATATAATGTAACTTGTAAATTATATTTATAATTATATAAAAATTATATAATTTTCATTTCTAACAGGTGATACTATTTATACTACTTAATGCTTTTTATGCTTTCATATTTGTTGTAAATGAGGGATTTACTGGAATTGGGTTGAAATAGTGTTTTCATCATATTTGTGATACATTGAAAGTTCCTGTAGACACTTCTTTCTTACCCCAATCGGGGCCATAATAAGGGTCACATGAGTTTCAGTTTTCATCAGAAACAATTTCCTCCACATTGTTTAACATACAGAGGAAGCAAACCATTTATATACCAAAACACTCAGTTCATAGCACTTCTATGAGGGGGAAAAAAGAGAAAACTGGAAGATGGGAAAAGAAATGAATAGGAGAGAGAAGGTGACCCTTTCCAAAGTGTGAAAATATTTTGCATACTGATACAGAAAAGTTAGCTTGTGATCTTAGAAATGAAGTAGAAACTGCAAAAAATATTCCCTTGTCTATAGAGGAACTAGTTCACCGACACAAAATAGAGACTAAGAGACTTATGAATCAGCAATCCTAACTTTTACAGTTACATCAAGTTTCAGTGACATCCAGATCTCTTGTTATAAAGGGATGAAGTGAGTAAACCGAAACCCTCGGTCAAGCTCTAGAGATGTTAAAAGGAAGAATCTATGTTAGCAGACACCTACAGGAGTGTGTTTGACCAGAAGCGTTCATGTCTCATTCACACACATAAAGCAGCTCCCTAGTGCCTACCCAGGGAAGCCGTTTCCAAGCAGCTCACTGTCTGGGAAGTCCATGAAGACGGAAGGACACCTATGAAGAGAGGTCAGTTTATAGCCTGCCTAACACACACACACACACGCACACACACACACTCACGCTCACATACATGACCTCTAGTAAAATCCAAGCCCTCTACAAACACAGAAAGCATTCGTGATTCAAGTAGGACTGAGTTTGAAGCAGCTTTTATTCCATCCAAATGTTTTTGTGTAGCCAAGCTTGTTACCTAACGTACAGTAATTGGCATGTGCAGTTTGATGTGTTACAGTTTATTATATACTATGTCAATAAACATGGTATCACAATGTAAAACTGACTGTCTCATTATTTTAAAGTCAACATGAACATTAAGAACCCATTTGGTGTGGTTTTAGAGGCAGATCAAGTTGTATTTGGAATGTCTATGACAAACAAAGATTAACAAGACAAACATTTTTTTTATGTGGACTACAAAGCATGAATTGTGCAAAATATTGTTCAGGAACATATTAAGGTAAACTGTTCATTTTTATTTTAAGTGGAATTTTTTTTAAATAATTTTGATTTTTAAAATTAGATTTAAATATTTCACTTCATTTTTTTAAAACTGAGAACTGAAAATCACATGGCTGCAAAGTATTTATACAACAGTTATCCACAAGTCACGTGTGCTTATACAAGTAAATGTAAAAAGCCTGAGCCTCCTTTAATTAGCTGTTTTGTTGATCATGTGTAAGACTTTTCTAAAAAAAAAAAAAGCACACATGGTTTCTCTCTCTCTCTCTTCTTGTGCAAGATTGTGGTTTAAAGGATGCTGTGAAGGGTCCTTGGTGGATTCAGTAGTAGCTACATCTCTGATCCATGTTGTAAAGAGAACTGAGAGGAGTACTTTGCATGTGCTCCTGTCTAAAGAGTCACCAGAGATTTCAAAGTTTACAAGAGGACAGAGAGAGAAAACAGAGACTCCAGCAAGGTCAATCATTCACACACATACTAAAGAAAGAAATGCTACTCACGGGGTGACACAGATGAACTTGGTCTTCAGGTAAGGCTGAATTACTGAAAGAACAACAAATGACTGTGTTAAAAAACAAGGAGAATTCATATTTTTCAGGTCTTCAGTGAGCTTTTGTCATTAAAAATCAGTTTCTTTTCTTAGAGGAACAGTTCACACAATAATGAACATTCAAACCTGTATAATTTTCTTTCTTTTTTTTTCAATACATAAACAAATAAACTTAAGTCAGAAAGTAGTCAATGTAACGCTTGTGATACATTCCAAGTCTTCTGAAGTGTCACATGATCCTTCAGAAATCATTCTAATATGCTGATTTGGTGCTCAAGAAACATTTAATAGCAAGATCAATGTTTAAAACAGTTGTGTTGCTTAATATTTTAGTGAAAACCATGATATATTTTTTCAGGCTTCTTTGATGAATAGAAATAACTGCATTTATTAGATTTTTTTGGAACACTGAATATGTCTTCACTGTCAACTTTTGATCTTACTGACCATAAACATTTGAACGGTAGTTTAATTTTACAATTTTACATTTATCAGTGTTATCAATGTAGAATACAGTTGTGTTGTTAAAGGTTTTGTGGAATTTTAATATTTTTGAATTAAAAAGAACAGCATTTACTTGAAACCGTTTTTTTTTTTTTTTTTTTTATATATAAATTTAATGTGTCCTTGCTGAATAAAAGCATCAATTTTTCAAAAAAATAAAAAAATGAAATCTTACTGACCCCAAATTTTTTAAACTGTAACATGTCTAACCAAAGATTAACGTCATGCTTTTGCATTGTCTCTAATCTTATTCTTAGACAATTTCCTCAGAAGCTGAAAGTTTCTGGTAAACCACAACCATTCAGTGCAAATACTAAAATAGTAATTTCCACAATAAATGAGAATGAAATGAGACAAACTTTGCCAAGTAACAGACAGATGTGCCGTTATTCCAAGCCAGAATGAACTATATTCCTGCTAACACACTCACCACATCCAGGATCAGGGAATTCAGTGTCAGGCTGGGCCTCGGGGCGGCAGTACTTGCCAAACGCCTCCTCCTTGGGGATATCGGGGTAGAGATAGACTAGCGGCGAGACGAGGATGTTGGTGGCATCCATGATCTTGTAGCCCATGATGATCTCAGCGAAAGACATACTGTTGAGCTGCTGCTTAGTGTACGGTTCAACCGACTGGATCTGGGTCTTACCTGCACATACATACAGGAGCACGAATGCTTCACATATTCCAACTACGGTCAATTTCAGTAGTCGAGACAAAGCCAGAGAAATTTCATGATTGCCAATATCAATTTTGACATCACAAGAAAAACAAAATAAAATCATTTGTTTACATTGGTTCCAATGTAGAGATCATTTTGAGAAGTCTTATGCCAACACACACAATATAATGTACATGGAAATTAGAGATGCACCGATTGCAATTTTCTTGGTCGATTCCGATTTCCGTTTTTTTTTTTGTGTGATCTGCCGATACCGATTTTTGCCGATTCCGTTTTTAAGAACTATAATTGACAGCATATACAAACAAAAATCTACTTTTCTTCAACGCAATGTTTTATTTTCATAAAAAAACACAAGTAAAACGTCAGTAATAAAATAAGAACAAATAAAAAAAATTGCAAACAACAGCACAAATAAATGCAATAGAATAAAGAGAACTACGAGACTAAGTCTTTCAGGTTAAGTAAGTTTTTATTCAGTTAAGAAATACTACAGAAATTAAAGTAATCAAATGTAAAATAACACATCCAGTGTTATTTTACATTTGATTACTTTAATATCTGTAGTCTTCATTGTAAAAATTAAATACAGATTAATGCTTACCATTAAAGTTATAAAACGTATTCAGTCAAGAGCAGAAAATTATTTTCTTTGTCTTTTGTTCTCTGATTAACATGACAGACAGCAGCATAAATATTGGACTGCGGTCCCTTTAAGAGTTTATCCACGGACCCAATATTTAACTGGATACTCGCCAAGACGGTCATTTTGACAATTTATTATGTATTTGAACGTTTTAGCGCAGTTAGCCATTCATTTTGTTATTTGTGGCTCACAAGCTGTTTGAGACTGAGCGCGCGGATTGTGCTCTCCATTAATATAGATCAGTGGTGGTGCACGCGTGTTTGTTATATGCGCGAAACCTGCGGGAATGACTAAAATAATGCGCAATACAAGCACTATTTAACCGGAGCGAATGAGATGTGTGTGAGAGAGAAGGGGTCTTCGGCGAGAAGAGAGCGAGAATGCGCGGCTGACGTTATTGACTGTGCCTCTGGTAACAAAACGGATCGGCTCGGAATCGGAAAGAAGTGAGACTGACCGGCCGATCACCGATCCGGGTTTAATTTCAGCACAGTCTGCAGAGATTTCAGCTAATTTCTACTGTTTACTGCCACACTATTGCTATATCAACCTATTCTCTGAATTATTTTAACTCCGTGTCAAAACCTGAAGCATGATCGGGCGCCTTGTGCATCACTATTAAAGGGCATCAAAGTACCCCTATGCATCGCTATATTAGGAGCGAATTAGGAGCACCATCGCTTTCGATTATATACGTTAATAACCTGTGAAAGTGCACCTTAATGTAAAGTGAACACAATAATCAATTATCTATTGATTATTATTGCACACAACAGAAAAAGTTGGTATTTTTCTGGTTAAGTGTATTTTATTGTTTTTGAACTGTATCAGTCAACAACATTAAACTTGAAACAAAAATATAAATATTTTCTTTTATATAGTATAACTTCACACACACACAAAAAGTGGCTTATACAAGTAAACTCACATTAAACAATTCAGAAAAACAATCAAGTATTCCTAAGTTTGCAACACTGTGCATTCCGCTCTCATCAGGGCTGTGTTTGGACAGTTATTAGATGTCTTTTAAGTGCAAAACTGCTTGCTTGATGTGGTTGAGTGGACGTGTGACGAGCAAGCGAAAAACAATAAACAGTGCGATGGCATAAAAATTAAGATAATACTGTTCTTACTTTTCATTTTAGTTGTTTAAAATAGACCATAGAACAGGCATCTATTTCTCCTCGGGTCTCCTGGCATGAATAATAGTCATATCTAATTTCTTACTTTTATTTACATGCTTTTTAATGACATATATGCACGCTACAGGTCAGCACAAATGCCTTTCATTGGCACGATGATCTGGATCCGGCTTAATTAAGCCCTGCTCTTATCAGACAGAAGCAGGATGAGTCTTTCGAAGATGTTCGTGGTTACTGGGGTCAATGCAAGGGGTCTTATAGCATATATTGTTGGCCTTTATAATTATATCATCCTAACATTATAACATCCTTATACTGTAGATAAACAGTATGCAATTTACATATATAGTCATTCTAAAGTCCATCAAAATATGCTGATATGCACAATACATACACAAGTATATGTGTATTTTTGGGTTTTAATAAACATACATGCATAAATTATATATATAATTATATTAATACTTACACTGTAAAAGACAATTGCCAGAAAATTTAAAAGGATTAAAAAGTTGTAACAGTCACAAACCTGTTAGCATTTTTTTATATTGTAATTGTACTACCCACCATGAGGGGGCAACATGGAGCTATACTCTTAGATATAAAATGGGTGTAGGGAGTAGAAGAAGTCAGATTCGTAATGGAGGGAAGTAAGCATGGCTTATGGCTCCAAACAATCACTTGTCCTGATTGAGAAACCTTGAGTTTTATGCTCAATCTGAAGTAAGCATTGTTTCTTGTTTTGTATTGATTGAATGCTTTTGGGTAATTTATGGGTAGTTATTTTTCTAATGTGATTTATTTCATTTTATTTAGAAGGACTCCACATTCTGTGGGATTTATCCTTGTATTCATATGCCTGTTTTTGACCTGCATCATAAGGATGACTTTAAAGTGGGTTTTGAGGCTGTGAATTATGTTGACAACTGTTGTGGATTCTGGAACCGGGTTATACCACAAATGTGACTTTAAAGACTTGCTCAGTGTTTGGATTGAGATCTACACCATGGATTACGTGTTGCACTGGGGACATTTTTGGATGGTATTCTTGGACATTGGATTTCATGGACATTGATTTCTACACTGTGTGGAATGAACATTCAGCAACTGTATCATTGTCGTCATCACATCAGAACAGATACGATTTTGACTTGTCTGCTGTCCTGAGTTTATGTTGTCGAAATATGTATGTTTGTTGTATTAAGGGGTTTGAAAAATAAAAAGAGGTAAATGAATGAGAAGCATTTATTTGTTGTTTTATTTATAGATTTGACAGGTTTTGGTCATTGCTTGCTATATATAGAGCTAGTTTGCCTTATTGATGTCTTCTGTTGTGCCTTAGATAAAATCTAGTTAGGGGTTCCCTCCCTATAAAACAGATTTATAACCAACACTTTTTTGAGAGTAAGGTAACGGTTATTACTGTTACACAACATGCGTTCTCTTTCTCAACTATTTAACGTTCCAAAACTGACTGTGTTTAACTGGATACTCGCCAAGACGGTCATTTTGACAATTTATTATGTATTTGAACGTTTTAGCGCAATTAGCCATTCATTTTGTTATTTGTGGCTCACAAGCTGTTTGAGACTGAGCGCGCGGATTGTGCTCTCCACTAATATAGATCAGTGGTGGTGCACGCGTGTTTGTTATATGCGCGAAACCTGCGGGAATGACTAAAATAATGCGCAATACAAGCACTATTTAACCGGAGCGAATGAGATGTGTGTGAGAGAGAAGGGGTCTTCGGCGAGAAGAGAGCGAGAATGCGCGGCTGACGTTATTGACTGTGCCTCTGGTAACAAAACGGATCGGCTCGGAATCGGAAAGAAGTGAGACTGACCGGCCGATCACCGATCCGGGCCTATCATGAGGAAAATCGGCCGATTCCGATCCCTGGCCGATCGATCGGTGCATCTCTAATGGAAATGCATTTACCATTGATGTCCTTCTCGACCCAGGTGAAGGTAATGCCTCCCTCTTTGCTGCTTTCACTGAAGCGCAGCAGGAATGTCCCAGGAGGCTTTGGGCTCAGGATTGCCCTCTCTCTTTCTTTACTGATGAAGCCCATAATATACCTAACACACACACACAAAAGCTCGATATATCCACCGAAGCAGTGATTGATGTAATGAACTATGAATACTGCATGAATGCACACAGCAGAGTGCAGCAGGAGTTCTCACCCTTCATTCCATAGAGCCAAAATATATTTCTTCACTAGGTCGATAATGTTGTCTAGCCACACCCAGAATGAGAAACCTTTTCCTGCCATGTTTTCCTGCAACACACAAACACAAGCACAACATGTTTAGGAAAGAAACTGGATCAGCTGGTCTGATCTGCTCTAAATTTAACACAGAATAGGGAACAAATGTTTGTTATAGCAACATACTTTGCAGAACTTGGCCCATGTGATCTGGCAACCAGAGTAGTTTACACAAGGACCTACACAAAGACAGAAATGCACAATTAAACAGAGATTCATGGCAACATTAACAGTATCATTTCAATCACATCATTTACAATAATATAACATTTTCTTAAGAAGCGATCACTTATCACTATACAATAACATACAAGTACCAACAATAGTACTGAAAAAACATTGTCATTTAAAATTGGACATCCTGTTAAAATATATTTTACATTTCTTACACAAGTCACAAACTGGTTTCTCTTCCCCTTTCAATAAATATCAACGAGTGGGTCTTGAATGTCCAATACAACATCTTGTATACACAACCTGGACATATCTATTGTCAAAATAGTAATTGCTTTTCAATCACCTCATAGAGATTGTTGTTTATGCATTCATTGCATTCCATTTGACATTTATTATTAATGTACAGATTCAATATAAGTTTTATATCAGATACTGGAATAATACGTTCTGTTATTTCCAACTGAACAGCTTCCTTAGCCACTTTATCTGCCTGTTCATTGCCGACCAATCCCATATGGCCAGGTATCCAACAAAAAATCTTGTTTCTTTAAAGAGTCAAATTCTTCTAGAATGCTAATAATTGTAGGATGTTCAGTTTTCAAAGACTTAAGTGCTTGAAGGCAGGACATCGAATCTGTGCAAATTAAAAAATGACGTTGTTCCTTTTCTATTTGTTATAGAGCTAAAAGTAATGCATAAGCAGTGAGCTTTGTCTAGGGATACTCCCGCCAAAAAATCTCTTGAACCAATCACTACTGCAGCAGACACGTTCATCTGTCTTTGATCCAAAATGAAGACATATGTTACCACCAAAATATTAAGCAGCATAATGGCAACAAATCAGTATATCAGAATGATTTCTGAAGGATCATGTGACAGTGAAAGCTGGAGTAATGATGCTGAAAATTCAGCTTTGCCCTCACAGGAATAAATTACATTTTAAAATATATTAAAATAGAAAACAACTATTTTAAACTGTAATAATATTTCACAATATAACTGTTTTACTGTTTTTTTTAATCAAATAAATTCAAAGTCAAATCTTGCTGACCCAAACCTTTAAACGGTAGTAGGGATGTAACGGTATGAAAATTTCATATCACAATTATAGTGACCAAAGTTATCACGGTTATCAATACTATCACGGTTTTGTTAAAATTAGATGAAAATGTTCAAAAAGAACTGATACACACACTGAAAACATTTCAATAAGTTTTATATTTGAAAATCAACAAACAACAAATACAATTAGCAGCTATATGCACTTTTTTTTTAGCATAAACATTAAATTAACATTAACATGAAGCCCTAATAATAATAATAATAAATCACTTATATATACATGATCACAAACGGAAATCACATTGTATATATATATATATATATATATATATATTCGCCAAGGGAGTTTCAAACGCTTATTCGAGACATTAATGCCCTGCACCCTTCAAAGAACACACTTCAAGGGCTCTGCCCTTCGAAGGGAGTAAGGCATAGGGATGCTCACTTCTGTTCGGAATTCGCCCCATGTCTCTTGTATCACCGCAGAGGCTCGGACGCGGCTCTCTCGTTTCATTCAAATGCAGCGTCTCAGTTTTTGATTGTATTGAAAATGAAATCAGAGGAATTTAGTATTAATACTACTATAATTTTGCTGTAGTGATCATATTGTCCTGACGATTGTTTTGTACACTGTTCATAATGGATTTATAAATGGGTAAGATTTCAAAACATTCATCTCAATTCAATATTTTATATCCCCGTATTTATATATTATTATAATAGGTAAACAAAAAAAAAATCTGTGTAATAAGTTAACTATGAATATACAATACATTATCCCTTAAATGTCAACCTTATAGTTTGAACGTTCATTCGTCTTGGCTCAAAGCCACTTGCTGCAAACTTTTCTTCGCGGAAGCTTTGCGTTAAACAAGTGAGATAACGAAATATTTAATCTCTAATCAATATTTTTTGTCCAATTATTTGCCCAGTTAGTTTTGGTATTGAAAAAAATCTGTGTAATAAGTTAACTATGAATATACAATACATTATCCCGTAAATGTCAACCTTATAGTTTGAACGTTCGTTCATCTTGGCTCAAAGCCACTTGCTGAGAACTTTTCTTCGCGGAAGCTTTGCGTTAATTACAAGTGAGATAACTAAATATTTAATCTCTAATCAATATTTTTTTGTCCAATTATTTGCCCAGTAATTTTGGTATAGAGGTAAAAGTTACCTTGCATTCGCTATATAACAGTGGGTGGTGGTCACGATAATGGCTGAGCAAATTTGATGCGTTTCCCCCTTTTGCAGCGACTTTCTTCTTGCAAGATCAGCAGACAGGGTGACCGTCCTCGATTAAATTGCCTTCAGGACTCTTGTAAAAGCCAAAATACGACCAGACCACCGATTTGGTCCTCTTAGATGGCTGAAAAATCTCCCGAGCGCTGTCGCCTTCCGCCATTTCGTCTCGTGCAAAAAAAAACAACAACAACAACATTGCATGCTGCTTCTGCGTCAGACTGATGCTGGCTGGACAGGATTTACCGCGAGTTTTCAAAATCGTGATAATCAAATACGGTTTTGATGATAATGAAATTTTAAACGATAATACTAACCGTCAGGGCATTTTATCGTGATTTATCGTGAAACCGGTAATCGTTCCATCCCTAAACGGTAGTGTATAAAAAAATTCAATATTATCAAAGCCAAATAAATGATGTGATTAATACTAATAAAACCACTGAACAGAACTAAAAATGCTTCTATTTTCCAATTATTTTCATATTTTTTAAATTACAAATTAGTAAATCAGCATAACAATTTCAGAGAAAAGTTTATATATTTCTTCATTTTGTTTCTCTTTTTTTGTCAGCGTCCTCCAACTTATTTATCTTATTTATTAAATGGAAAAAAATGTAGATATTCAATACTTTTTTAACTCCACTATAACACATACCCAGAATACCCAGAAGAAGTGTGGTGAGCTGCTCGATGGTAAGTCCTCTCTTGGTTGTGGATGAAAACTGCCAGCTGAGCACCTCAGCCACCTGATCCCACGTTCCTACTGGAGGTTTGGTGAAGAAATTCACGTTCTGTGAAGACAGAGAGGAAGAATTCTCAGTAACTTACACAAGCTCTTGTGATAACAGTAAGTACGGCTCGCTGTGGATTCATTTCAAACCTTAGGATGGTTGGTCAGCATGTTGTACCACAGGATGGACGCCCATGCGTTTGGCATTTGACAGATATTAGAGATGACCACCACTGGGAGAGAATGTGTCTGCACAGAGATAAAAGACATTTACATATAATCTAGAATAACAAATCCTGCTATTTTTGTACAGCTTGCTCAGTCGGAAATCTGAGACCTGAGGCTGAATAATTCTCAAGCAAACAGAGCCGAATGGCTTAATTATCTCGTTTAATTAACCTGCTGTGTGTGTTGGTATTTTATGTGACCCTGTTGTGTCCATCCACAGGAAACGAATGATTTTGCATGTTCTCTTATCAGCACATAATAGGCATGTAGGCAGCACTGTGTGCGTTTAGGGGTTTAATAAGCGGCAGACCACCCAAGGACACGCTGCCTGGTTACATATTCATATCCTCCCACTGCTGGTACCATGACGACAGCCTATCACAATGACCTTATTGGCTTTCAGTACGCTGAATCAATCAACAGCAGCAGTGTGATGGACTTAATCGGTACTCGAGAGTTTAATATTATTATCATCTTTGATTTGATAAACAGCCCAACAGGACAGCGCCTTTGTGACAGGAACCCTGTCATGATAAGACCTGTCTGACATTTTATTTCATTCTAAAATACTGATAAAAATGAAAGCATAATTTTTAAATGAACTAATCATTTAAGCATCCAGTGAGTGTTGTTTATGGATGTGGTTTTTCACCTCAAGGTCGATCTTTAGTCCTTGGTGGTAGACCTCTGTCTCAAACGTGATCAGATGCAGTTCTTCGGTCACTATCAGAGACGCCTGTAGTTCAGAGGGCAAAGGTCAATGTTTACACTGACTTCTTCACTAGAAACCCTGAATCAAATTAATAACTGTGGCATAATGCTAATTATACAAAGACTTACGTCACTGTTGGTTCGGCCTCCATTGCCACATCTCTGCTCTCGAAGAGTCTGAAAGACAGAAGAACAAATCAGGACTAATTCAAGCAACATTCAGCCAACAGCTGATCTAGTCTTCTTGAAATTTGTAGGGCAGATTCAATTAACTGTTTTTTTTTTATGAATAAAAATATAATAAGCAATTTACTGTAAAAATGCACAAATCTACAGGCACTTTATGTCCCAGGGGTTGATTTTTATGAAAATAGAAATATTTTTTTAAATATATCTTTAATATTTTTTAATTATTTAAACACCTTTTATGCTTAGATGCTTTTATTTAAAATTTTAACCTATGGTGAGCTTAACAAGAAGTGAAATAAATCTACTGATTTACTGGTGATAGTAAGAAAATGTGGAAAACACTAAATGAAATAATGTGTAGGAAGACAATTTTCAAGGATGTGTTTTCCACACACCCTTGAAAATTGTGTCTTCCTACACATTAGGTAAGGGTTTATCATTAAACCCTTAGATATAGCTAATTTTAACACTTTTTTCATTAATAAAGTGAATGATTTACGATTAGCATGTATAGCAACAATTTACAATTAGTGTGTAATCTTATTGTTAAAATGATGAAAGATAAAATGTGTTGTTTTAATTTTAGTCCCATTGATCAAAATACAGTAGAACAGATGTTGCTTTTAATTCCAGATGACAAATCTTGTGGAGTTGATTTTTTGGATGGTACATTTCTGAAAATACTAGCTAATCAGCTCTCTCAACCAATTTGTCATATATTTAATAGATGTTTGCTTAGTGGTGTATAGCCAAATCTTTGGAAAGAATCTAAAATTATACCATTACTAAAAAAGGGAAAAACTTACTTTTCAGGTCCTAACTGTAGGCCAATTAAGTATACTTCCTATTTTGAGCAAGCTCTTGGAGAAGATTATTTTTAAGCAAATTTGACAATATTTTAGAATGAATGGATTACTTACTAGTGAAACCGGTAATCGTTCCATCCCTAAACGGTAGTGTATAAAAAAATTCAATATTATCAAAGCCAAATAAATGATGTGATTAATACTAATAAAACCACTGAACAGAACTAAAAATGCTTCTATTTTCCAATTATTTTCATATTTTTTAAATTACAAATTAGTAAATCAGCATAACAATTTCAGAGAAAAGTTTATATATTTCTTCATTTTGTTTCTCTTTTTTTGTCAGCGTCCTCCAACTTATTTATTTACAGGCTTAAATGGAAAAAAATGTAGATATTCAATACTTTTTTAACTCCACTATAACACATACCCAGAAGTTTCTCTGCAAGTGTGGTGAGCTGCTCGATGGTAAGTCCTCTCTTGGTTGTGGATGAAAACTGCCAGCTGAGCACCTCAGCCACCTGATCCCACGTTCCTACTGGAGGTTTGGTGAAGAAATTCACGTTCTGTGAAGACAGAGAGGAAGAATTCTCAGTAACTTACACAAGCTCTTGTGATAACAGTAAGTACGGCTCGCTGTGGATTCATTTCAAACCTTAGGATGGTTGGTCAGCATGTTGTACCACAGGATGGACGCCCATGCGTTTGGCATTTGACAGATATTAGAGATGACCACCACTGGGAGAGAATGTGTCTGCACAGAGATAAAAGACATTTACATATAATCTAGAATAACAAATCCTGCTATTTTTGTACAGCTTGCTCAGTCGGAAATCTGAGACCTGAGGCTGAATAATTCTCAAGCAAACAGAGCCGAATGGCTTAATTATCTCGTTTAATTAACCTGCTGTGTGTGTTGGTATTTTATGTGACCCTGTTGTGTCCATCCACAGGAAACGAATGATTTTGCATGTTCTCTTATCAGCACATAATAGGCATGTAGGCAGCACTGTGTGCGTTTAGGGGTTTAATAAGCGGCAGACCACCCAAGGACACGCTGCCTGGTTACATATTCATATCCTCCCACTGCTGGTACCATGACGACAGCCTATCACAATGACCTTATTGGCTTTCAGTACGCTGAATCAATCAACAGCAGCAGTGTGATGGACTTAATCGGTACTCGAGAGTTTAATATTATTATCATCTTTGATTTGATAAACAGCCCAACAGGACAGCGCCTTTGTGACAGGAACCCTGTCATGATAAGACCTGTCTGACATTTTATTTCATTCTAAAATACTGATAAAAATGAAAGCATAATTTTTAAATGAACTAATCATTTAAGCATCCAGTGAGTGTTGTTTATGGATGTGGTTTTTCACCTCAAGGTCGATCTTTAGTCCTTGGTGGTAGACCTCTGTCTCAAACGTGATCAGATGCAGTTCTTCGGTCACTATCAGAGACGCCTGTAGTTCAGAGGGCAAAGGTCAATGTTTACACTGACTTCTTCACTAGAAACCCTGAATCAAATTAATAACTGTGGCATAATGCTAATTATACAAAGACTTACGTCACTGTTGGTTCGGCCTCCATTGCCACATCTCTGCTCTCGAAGAGTCTGAAAGACAGAAGAACAAATCAGGACTAATTCAAGCAACATTCAGCCAACAGCTGATCTAGTCTTCTTGAAATTTGTAGGGCAGATTCAATTAACTGTTTTTTTTTTATGAATAAAAATATAATAAGCAATTTACTGTAAAAATGCACAAATCTACAGGCACTTTATGTCCCAGGGGTTGATTTTTATGAAAATAGAAATATTTTTTTAAATATATCTTTAATATTTTTTAATTATTTAAACACCTTTTATGCTTAGATGCTTTTATTTAAAATTTTAACCTATGGTGAGCTTAACAAGAAGTGAAATAAATCTACTGATTTACTGGTGATAGTAAGAAAATGTGGAAAACACTAAATGAAATAATGTGTAGGAAGACAATTTTCAAGGATGTGTTTTCCACACACCCTTGAAAATTGTGTCTTCCTACACATTAGGTAAGGGTTTATCATTAAACCCTTAGATATAGCTAATTTTAACACTTTTTTCATTAATAAAGTGAATGATTTACGATTAGCATGTATAGCAACAATTTACAATTAGTGTGTAATCTTATTGTTAAAATGATGAAAGATAAAATGTGTTGTTTTAATTTTAGTCCCATTGATCAAAATACAGTAGAACAGATGTTGCTTTTAATTCCAGATGACAAATCTTGTGGAGTTGATATTTTGGATGGTACATTTCTGAAAATACTAGCTAATCAGCTCTCTCAACCAATTTGTCATATATTTAATAGATGTTTGCTTAGTGGTGTATAGCCAAATCTTTGGAAAGAATCTAAAATTATACCATTACTAAAAAAGGGAAAAACTTACTTTTCAGGTCCTAACTGTAGGCCAATTAAGTATACTTCCTATTTTGAGCAAGCTCTTGGAGAAGATTATTTTTAAGCAAATTTGACAATATTTTAGAATGAATGGATTACTTACTAATCCACAACATGCTTACAGACCAGGACACTCCACAAGTACCGCTCTTATACACATGACAGATGAATGGTTAGCATGTCTAGATGATAAGAAATTGGTTGGTGCTGTTTTAATAGACTATACAGCAGCTTTTGAAGTTATTGACCATGATATTCTTATTGCTAAACTTAAATGTTATGGTTTTTCACTCACAGCTCTTGACTGGATTGGAAGTTATCTTTCTAATAGAAGACAGAGAGTGTTTTATAATGGTTCTTTCTCGGAGGCTAAAAATACCTATTGTGGTGTTCCACAAGGGAGTTGTTTAGGTCCATTATTGTTCTCTATCTTTATAAACGATTTACCATATGTTGTTGATAAGGCAAATATAGTTATGTATGCTGATGATTCTACAATGTTTTCTGCTGCACATACATTAACTGAGCTTCAAGAAAATTTAAGTGATGGGCTGTTAACAATTACGAAGTGGGTTCGATTTAATAAACTAATTTTAAATATAGAAAAAACTAAATGTATTGTTTTTAGTTATAAAAATAATATGACTAAGGCTGCTGATTTGAATTTATTTATTAATGGGGTGCCAGAACGGGAAGTCGTGGCCTAATGGTTAGAGAGTCGGACTTGTAACCCAAAGGTTGCGGGTTCGAGTCTCGTACCGGCAGGGATTGTAGGTGGGGGGAGTGAATGTACAGCACTCTCTCCCACCTTCAACCACGACTGAGGTGCCCTTGAGCAAGGCACCAAACCCCCAACTGCTCCCCGGGCGCCACAGCATAAATGGCTGCCCACTGCTCCAGGTGTGTGTTCACGGTTTGTATGTGTTCACTGCTGTGTATGTGCACTTTGGATGGGTTAAATGCAGAGCACTAATTCCAAGTATGGGTCACCATACTTGGCCACATGTCACGTCACTTTCAGTGGAACAAGTAACAAATGTCCTGGTCCAAACATATAGACTATATAGTAAGCACTATGGGAAAAGGTATAGCGGTGGCCAGGAAATGTTCAGAATTTATTCCATCTTTAGTTTAAAAAGATGTGGTACAGTCATTAGTTTTATCGCATCTTGAGTACTGTTCTATGGTATGGTCAAGTGCATCTGAGAAACACCTAAAAAAAAAAACTTCAGATGGTTCAGAATAGAGCAGCCAGACTAGTGCTTCATTATCCATTTCGGGCTAATGTTAGTGATATGCATAGAAAGTTATCATGGTTGCTGGTGAAGGTCACATTACATTTACGATAGTTGGTATATTTTCATAAAGTAATCAAGTATCAAACTCCTTGTTTTTTCTTTGAAAAGCTTGTTTATGTGGGACTTAGACATGATTATAAAACACGTCAAGTAAGTAAGGCTCAACTTTCTTTACTGCGTCCACAAACAAATCTGATGAAAAAGACTGTACTTTATCGAGGTTCTGTCGTTTGGAATATGGTTCCAATAAATATATGAAAGAGTAACTGCACATACTGTATGTATTAAGAAAGAAAATGTGAAGATTTACTTATAAATATGTAGATGTATATTTTGACTGCTGCTACTGCTGAGAGTATAGTTTTGTAGATGTACATTTTAAGTGCTGCAATTGCTGAGATGTATAGTTTTGTGATGGGACAAGTGAAATTGTATTCTTGATTGTTTTTTATTTATTTGTAAGACTGTTTGTCTTGAATTGATTTCTGGACCCCAGGAAGACTAGCAACCACTCTGTGGAAGATAATGGGGATCCAAATAAACAATAAACAATACTGGGTGATTTATTTATTTTTTTGGTGTGTGTGGGGGGCACTTTATTTTAAGGTATCCTTGTTACACATATTACATGTACTGTTATAATTACTAATACTTACTATTATAATAACAATTAATTATGCATAATTACATGCAAGTAACCCTAAGCTAAACCCTAACATATAGTAAGTACATGTAATTAATTAATATTACTCCGTATTATAAGGACACTGTAACAAGGACACCTTAAAATAAAGTGTAACCTTGTTTTGTTTTTACACAAATGATGACTGTCTCAGTCAACCATCATTTCTGCCTCTAATAAAAGTTCAAATGTTAGTGTACTTGTTTACGAAGAAAAATATAATCACTAAAGAACATGCTTGTGATTAAATATATTCAATACTGGACATTATTAGTACACAAATAAATACAGTGTTTAAAAAGTGTGTTTTAAGAGAGTTTAAATTTGCTTCCGAGGGCCAACAGTGTCCCATGCAACTCACAAATTCCAAAAAACATACAGTTCTGCGCTCCGGAAAAAAAGACTGGCGTAATGGCTGAGCTTACCAGATGTTTGAACTCTGCTGACAGGCTGCCATTGTTGGATTCCTCCATGTTCATCACCTTCGTGTTGGTGCCAAGGATGTTGAACTTTCGTGAACTAAAGGAAAAGAAACAGAGGACTCTACAATGCAAAAACTTTTACAGGAACTAGCAAGGAGGAGACTTCTTTTCACAAATTTTTTTGTAATCGTGCAATTTAAATTGATGATAAAAATTAAACTTCTACAAAATATCTGAAATATTTATTTGAATGCCCAAATACTAGCCAATTTTTGAAATCAGCCTATAACAACAAATAACCATATGACAATTTAATCGTTTTAACCTCAAAACTCACCCTCGGATGGCTGCCCCGTCACCTGACTCCCTGCAGAACACAGGAGGAAAATATTAAAAACTGGCACGTCAAAGTCATTTCATTCTGATGTCACAGGCAGGATGTGGGACTTACTTGTCAATACACACTTTTATTTTCAGCTGGTAATTCAACTCTGGGAATTTCACAAGTAACCTGAAAGAGAGGAGGTGGAAAAATGTACAATTTGGGTCTAGACGTCTTTCCCTTATGACTCACCTCTGTGTGTACCCACCTGACTTTGGTGGTGAACTGAACTCCTGTTTTGATGACAAGTGGTCGGTCAGGGTGCATGGGCATACAAGGCTGCCTCTCAACAACAAACGCACTGCAGTGACACAAGCAAACATTAATGATCAGATCCTGCTTCGTTGCATTAGAAAGTTTACACACCGAGTTAGTGATTTCAAACCTCTTCATAAGGCTGCGGAACAGGTCTACGATCTTCTCCTCCAGAGCTGGGCGGTGTTGAATAATCGGATCTCCTTTGTAGGAGACCTTCTGTTGAAGCTCCTCCAGTTTCTTGATCTGCTGTCTTATCTGCAACTGTGACTCAGCCAAAGAGGTGATCCTGAAAAACATAGCGATTTAAAAAAAATAAACCAATCCACAAAAAGGTGAGATTTAAAAGCAGGTTTGGATATGAATGGACTGTGTACCATGTCTCTAAGCGGTCCAGGCAGATGTTCGGTGGTCCTCCAATGCAGGCGATCTGCTGTCTCCTCTTCCAGTCGGCCAGTTCTTCATCTGTCAGATTCTTCTGCACAAAGTCCATGGCAGACAGCAGCCCTGCCATCTCAGTCACTATTTGCTATTTTGAAAAAAAATGTTGAACTTTTGACCCTTGGGTGATCAGTGTGAATGGAATGAACGACTCACTGGGCGGTATTTTCAAAACCCTGTATTTTGTGACTTGATTCTGTATCTCACCCTCCTCAGCTGATCCAGAGCACTCAGCATCTGCTCCAGCTGAGACATCTTCTGCCTGGTGGCTGCTGCCTGGCTGTTTCCATTCAGGTCCTGGGACAACTCTGAATCGTAACAGATTTGATGAGATTTTATCAGTGATTGAGGTTATTTGAGACAGGAAAAAATGACAGGAACATGTACTTATCATACCTCCAGCACTTTTAAGAGTTTTGTAGTTGAAGTCAAAATCATCTTGCAGATTTTCCAACATCTTCATCTTCTGCTCCATATCCTGTATAGAAAGAGTAAGGCAGCTGGATGAGTGAGAGGTTGTACCCCACAAGGGGTAAAATATGAGACCCTCATATTTTGTGCTCAAGGGCAATATGTTAAAAAAGGGCTTTCAAACTGAGGCTATAACGGGGTGCTAGGGGGTTTGTGGAATATTTCAATGAAAAATGAAGAAAAAAGGTCAAATAATGCTAAAAAAAGGGTCAATAAATACAGTAGGCATTACATTTTTTTTTTTACATTTTTTTAAATCACAGCTTATATAAGAAATGGTCAGAAATCAGTAGATTAATCACAATTCTTCTATTCTATTGACAGCCCTAGTTGCATCTCTTCAGGTTTTCGCATCTATCAATACTATAACAGTGAACAGAAAAAAATATAGTGTCAACAACATAATAAAAAATAAATATTTTCCAAAAAAACAAAATGGGTAAACAAAAATTAGTCTTTATACATAAAAAAACATCTAGCTGCCTTAATATTTTAGGGAGAAGATCACTTGCAAGAGGATCATTATATCTGAGGGTCTGTGGCATCACAAGTTTGAAAACCCCTTTGCAAGATAAATGCCATTAAAGAACAGATTTTTGTGTTTAAAACAGCAACTTTTGGGGAGATGATAAAGGGGTGCATATGTACCTGTAATTGCGAACAAGACAAATCAAGGTTGGTCAATTAAAGTGTGATTTTATGTACCAACCTGTACTCTCTTCCTAATATCCTGCAGGTTGTGTTCCAGTATCTGCTGTTTTTCTGTCACCACAGTGCCAGTGGGATGGGCAACCTGGCCATCCTAGAGATGTGAAAGAAATTGGAGAAACAGAAATCTGAATATGTCCTTACAAAGTGGAATCCATTTCCAAGCACTTTATATGTACTATTACTGTGTGTTTGACTAGAAAGGACCTGAAAACTGGTTTGGGGAGTATAAAAATATGTATACTGTGTGTAATTTAATTGTGAATTTATTTATAAATTAAACCCAGATGGAAGGTTTAAAAAAAAAAAAAAAGCAATTTTCTCTCTTAAAATGTATTTACCATAGAACCCCATTGAGTATATCACCCACGAGTAAATACATCATTCATCTGTATGTGTTTAAATGTGCCTATTCATGATTGTAGTTGTGCATGTATGATTATGTGTGTGTGTGTCTACCTGCTGTGCAGTGGTGGCCGTCTGCAGCAGACGCTGCTCTTCCCACAGGCAGCGGGCCACGATGCGGGCGATCTCCATGGGCTTCTCCAGATACTTGCTCTGCAGGTGCTGTTTGATGCGCCGCAGGTTGTGTTGGTACAGGACATTGTTCTCCTGCAGGAAGCGGCTGTACTGCTGATCGATCTCCCCCAGCAGGTTATGGAACACAAGCGTGGCGTGAGACTCCTTGTTGGCCGCATACGCCCTGTGACAGACACAAGCAAACAGGCTCATGTGATGGATAATGAGCAGCTTCCTCCATTCCATACATGCATTTGACAATCAGATGTGTCTTTACCTGCAACAAAACCAAAGCTTTTGTCAAAGACTTCTGCCTTCGTCTAAATGCTAAAAAACCGCAAAAACGGACAAATTAGTGTGTATTTTGAAAGCGTAGGTACGTGTAGGTATGTATCACTGCAGTTTGCTGTCATCATCAGTCACATGATCTGAATTTTTCTGCTGTTACTCAGCACAAATTCCAAACTGCTGACCTCATTCAGCAGGCAGCCATCACGAAGAAACACACATCACAGTTATCCATTACGCCAACACAGTATTCAAAATATCCTACAACCAAACCAGCAATACTTTCGCAGAGATGTCGTCATTGTCGTCATTATAATAATAATAATAATAATAATAATTTTGGTAATAATAAAACAGCTGGTTCAATCCCTTTAATCCCTTTAAACTGACACACATTAGCACATTTTCCAGTGTCAACAATGGCACATGAAAATATCATCACATAAAATAACTATGTGTCTAGGGTAAGCAGTATGACCAAGATGTTATATCGCAGTATGAGTAATTTGATATTAAGTTACTGGGTTTATGTTGTGATACGTTTATTTGCTAGAAAAGTTTGTTTTATTAAATAACCATGTGGAAATACATATTTGTTGATAAATAAATAGTACTTAATTTAATTAGATTATTTTCTATTTGGGTTGGCATCAGTGCAAACAGCTTCACAATTCACTCCTCTCAAGTGTAAATAACATAAAACAGACTTGATATCTACTGTGGTATAAACGAGACATTAAAATCTGCTGGTTGACACAATTCTACCATCTTACATGTGTCATGCTTCTCTAAATAACCTTTTTGATAACTGCAAATTTAATGAAATCAAATAATGAGTGAAGACCGTATGTATCTGCATAAACAAAGAATTGTGTTTGAATGGTTGAACTATAACCACTAGTCTTTGACCTAAAGCAATAATGTGTTTTTTATCAGTATATTACAGGCTTTATTATACTACTGATGATTATGTTCCTCTGAGCACTCAAGCAAACAATCCATTCAGAAAGTTCTATGACACTGTCAGCATGAAACAAACCAAACATCCCACGGGTTATTTGTATTGTCTCATGTTTACTTTAACCACACTAACGAGAAAACTGAGTGCATGAGAGGGTAATGTGAAGGACGATATCTTTGGGCTTTCAAAGCGAAATACGGCACTGAAATTATACAACAGAGTATCAAAACTCTAAAAGTTTAGAAAAGTTAAAAAAAGACTAATTCTATTAAAAGCACAATGCATTATATAAACATATCACCCCTTCAAATGTTACATCACAAACATTTAATATGCGGCAACCCAATGGTTATCTAAGTGTGGTGCTGTCCCCATGGGAGCATATGGGAGATTTCACTAGTTGATAACCAAAATTACCCAGCTTAATTTTCTTTCCCAGATATATCAAATCATATTATAAAGATATAAAAGATATACATTAAATAGATATATCTCCCCTTTTACCTCACAAACACTTAATATGCTGCAACACAATGGTTCTCTAAGTGTGGTGCTGCCCCCTATGAGAGCATATGGGAGATTTCACTAGTTGACAATCAAGATTACCCAACTTGATTTTCTTTACATTTTTTTTTTTTTTTTT